GATGACAGCAGAGACACACGCGAACACGCACACACCAGCCGCCACAGAAGTGCTTTAAAGCACAACAACACACACATAGGTATCGCTGTAAAGCATTTTAGCTGTTTCCTCTAAGCTTACTTCTGGCAGCTGATTGAGGAGCGGCGGGGAGAAGGAGAACGCTCAATCATTAGTCCTCCTCTCACTCTATCCCAGAGGGGAGAGGCAACAGTTGGAAATATGAATTATGAAATGATAAGAGGTTGTAAAATGGAGATAAATCCCAGTGATTACACAGCTCAGTATCTCACAATTTGATTCCTCTGCCAATGATTCTTTATTGTCACTGTGTGAAGGACAGCAAGCCTAATAATTCCCTGTGTATGAAGCACAGCAGGGGAAAGTATTGTAATGATAGAGTTCTTTTGAACATGATTGAGGAGGCAATTACATTTTGCATCTCACTTCCAGGATGTTTTTCTTTTTTTTCTTTTCTTCGTTCTCCGATGGCAGAAAATTCGACCACATCAAACCGTGTTTGTCTTCTTTCTCCATCCCCTGGGGTGCCAGTGCTGCAGAAAGCCCAAGAGATAACAAGGGGAAACATAAAAGCACATAAACAAGACACACACACACACACACACACACACAGCGAGGAGAAAGGAGAGAAAATGTGTGCACTTGCAGATGTGCGCGTGTGTGTGCGTGCTTTAAGACTCACACTGGTCTATGCAAATGACTCTGAGCGTGCATGTGTGCACGCTTACACAAAGAGTTGGAGTTTAGAGCATTTACCCGCTGCAGTTGTGTGTGCCTTGTGGGTAGCTGGTAGTGCCACCTTCTTCTTAGTGGTGTCTAACACACATGCATGCAGCACGCACACACACACACACACTCCCAGTCCTCCATCCAACTTAATCTGAGAGAGAAAAAAGCTCGACTAGCACCTCGCCCTGGCTTTTACTGTAGGTCTGCTGCCTCTAAATAGAGGGTTTTATCACAGCTTGGTGTGAAGTCTGAATACAACCAATATACCCGACATGCATCACGGCAGCTGCTCCGCTCCTTTTGCTCCTTTCCAGATATCATTGCTGGCTGCTGAAGTTCATACGTGCATGTAGAAGCCAGAGCAAAATTCTCTTGTTGAGGTTGAAACAGGGAATTGAGAATTCCAGCGTATTCCCGCCGCCCTCATTCCTCCCCACGCCGGTCAGGTGCATTGAAAGCAGTGACCTGCAGTGATTTCTGGTTCTGTGTGAAAATCCTGTGTCCTCCTCCCTTTTTTCCCTTCATTCCTTTAGTTTTGTAATGTCGCGTGGGGGCTGAAGGACAGAACATAGCTCTGTCCTGCAGACAGGTGTCCTGACCTTCTGTCTGCTCCTCCACGCCTCAGGGGACCTCTGTGAAATAGAGGCCAAGGCTTTGACCTAGTCTCTCATCTACAGTTTGTCTCTAAACGGAGCCACGCTGCAGATGCAATGAATCACAGCTGTAGGGAGCAGCGCATTAGTATGTGGCCTTTATTTTCACAGCTCTATAGGTTTTGGTGTTTCTGCTTGTTTTCTTTAAAGAGAAATCGTTTGAAAAATTCAACATTGGTCATTTTTCTTGTTTCAGAGATCTTCTTATCTCTACGTCAATGTAGCACCAGTGTGTTACAATTAGATTTCAGATGGCCTCCCTCCAGTACCCAGTGGCCATAGCAAGATTGCATTATTCAAAGCTGGAGATGAAAGCCCCCTCTGATAGACTAACGCTCTCTACAGTCTGTACTGTGTGTCGATTTGATTCCTTTGATGATATTTCCCCTACAGTTAGCTTTTCACCAGGCTTCGTGGCTGTGAAAGCCCATGTGTGTATTTTACACATCATTTCTGCTATTTATTGCTTATTAATCCTCCAACCTTGTAAGCACTGATGGAGGGGGGGAAGTTGTGGCCAAAAGTGATGGCTCATCTCTTAGAGAATGCCAAGAATGAGCACAGCATCAGAAGAAATAGTCTGTGGTGATTACAAGGGAGAAAGGAAAGGGACATTGGAATAGTTGGAGCGCGCTGAAGTGAGGAGGACTTTCAGACATTTCCAAGAAGCAGAGAACAAATTAGCCTGCTTATCACCTCTTTTATGCAGCCGAGTGAATTAAAATCCCAGATGCTGTGTCAAAATCTTTGTTGCATTGTTACCAAGAAAATCAAGGCGAAACTCGGTGCACCTGACCCGACTTTGGTGTTTTGATCGGTCTTAAAATGCTCGCTGGCTGAAGTGAATATAAGAAATCAACATTTTTATTGCACTCAGACAACTTTCCCAAAAACAGAGACCCAGAAAAGAGAAAACCTGGAAGACTATTGTTCATTAACAGTTTGCAGGACAGGTAAATGCCCGAGGACGTTTTAGTAAAGATATCTGAGAGCGTGAGGGTGAAAATATGCTAGAAATGTTATAGCATCGCTTACCCCTCCGCCCTCTAATTAGTCTCTTTGCAAAGCTGCTGAAATTTATATTGGTGCTCAGCACATCCACACTTAAATGGAAAGTCCCAGCAGCTCCAGCTTCAGTGAAATTATTCAAATCAATGTCTTGACCTTGGAAATGTAGCCTGGCATGTGCATTCTCTCTTTTCAGCTGCGTAACATTCACACAAATCTTTTTTTTCCCTTCGTATGAGTATCAGAAATGATGCCATTCTCAGTACTCTTGCATGCATAGGCTGTTGATATGCAGTGGGCTTCCTCTGTGTGTGGAAATGCAGCTGGTGCAGTCTGGGCCCGGCAGGTTGTTAGGGAAATGTGCTACATCTCGGCGATCTCGGGTTCTTTCTCTTCTCTGTACTTGTGCAGATAATCACCCACTTGTGTGACTGAAAATGTGAGAAGGCATCATGTTCCGAGTGTTTGTGCGAACGCGCACGTGTTTGCACACTTTTCGACTGCATCACGATGTGCATTTATGTCTCCGTCAGCCCGCCTGCTCTGTGTGTGTGCGCGTCAGCCCGTTGTGCGTGTGGCAGCCTGTGTGTACTTCATGCTGAACATTGTCTTCTTGAAACACTAAGCAAATCTCCTCAATGTGATAATTGGCTCCCCGGGGTGCTTGTATCTTTGCTGCTCATCATCGTCATCCCCTCCAAAAAAAACGAGCGTGTGCTAGATGAGATAGGCGAAGTTTGCTCGTTTGCCGGGGAAACCGATCCCTAGTCTGCCCGAACTCTTTTGGCAAGAAGAAACTTTGAGGCAACGAGACAGTGCAGCCAGATCGGGTGCAACCTGGCTGCAGGCTGCTGTCTGCTGCCTCTCGTAGCATCAGGGGCTTGTTTTCTGATGCGCTGCAATGGGTGAAATATGCTATTTGAGGCAGGTGATACGCTCAGTAGTTTCATCTGCAGTAATGTCTCTGACAGAAGCTGAATGCTTTTATCACTTCTGTTCAGGAAAATAAAGTATCTGCGTTAAAACCATCCATTTGTGATTATTAGCTATACGAAATGAGGCGGTTTGTTCGAGGCTCGGCGCACGGACGACCTTCGCTGGTGGTTTGCAGTGCTGGCGCCTGAGTTGTGTAAAATACAGACCTGTTTGTGTGCCTGAAGGCAAATAGAGACGCTCATCTGGTCACTAGAGTCTCTCCCTCTTTTTTAGTCCCTCTCATCCATATGTTCTTGGAGTCCCCGGGGTATTATAGACCACAGAGCAGATTGTTGGCCGCTTCATTGGGGAAACAGCGAGACAGCTGGGCACCCATCACACGGCCAAACAGATGTTCAGGTGACTTGCAGAGGAAGTGAACGGAAAAGAGAAATGGCGAGGGGCGGGAGGTGATGCGGAAGAAAGGGAAGCCGAGAGTTGATGGAGGCAGCAAAAAATGAATTAATACATTGATGCCAGAACTCCGAGACTTCATTAGGAATCCAGCGTTGCCCTCCGAGGTGGGCCACACGCTTTCCGCTCTCCTTAGGCCACAGGAACCGGTTTTCTCCCATATTGATTCACCTACTAGACTATCTGCTGCAGGTCTAATGCCTCAGATCTGTCGATTATCTTTGGCTAAATGCGGACGAGACGGCTAAGCGGCTCAGGGAATCAACGCCTTAATTCAAACTCACCTCAGGGAATATTCAAAAGTTGGAACTGAATCCCACCCTGAAAACAAATAGCTTGCTTTCTTGCCAGTTTCACATAATGATAAAAAAGGAAATCCACAAACAGTTTTCACAGATTCTCTGGCTGAGGGCCGAGCTTGATCCAGGCAGAGGCTCTAATCTGACACAAATCTGCATATACATACATACATACATAAGTATATATACATATATACATACATATATATATAGATAGAGATATAGAGATAGATATAGAGATATAGAGATAGAGATATAGAGATATAGATATAGAGATAGATATAGATATATAGATATAGATATATATAGATATATAGATATATAGATATAGATATATATATAGATAGAAACAATTCCTTACTGACTCCTTTTTTTCAACACTGCATTTGTCAAATTAAACCAGACAAAAGTTCTTCGATCCCCCTCAGTCTCCCTTCTCTACTTTCTTGGGCCAACCTTTGTTCTTTGGTTGCAGGTTTCATGTATAATACATGAGGATTGGGAGACTTATCCGTTTCTAGCCATACCGGCTGTAATTCCCTGGGAAGGGGCTATATTTAAGAGCTGGATAGGTCATAGATGGTGTCAGGGGAGCAGCTGACTTCTACCCAAGAGGTGGCGGTGGCTGAATAGCATTAAAATCCTAAAATAGAACTCGACACAGTTACATTGTTGCCCCGGCGAGGAAGCTGTAACTGAATTACCGTAGATTTAGCCCCTAATGGAAGAAGCGTTAATCCAGTTTTGTCAGAAACGTGTCTTGTTTGTGACAACACGCTGCTCCCTGGCGTCTAGTTAGTCTCTGTTTGTACATCACAGATTTCAGTTTTCACCTCTTTCTATTTGCCTCTATTTATCGTACAACAAATCTAATTCCTGTTGTTGTTGTTTTTTATTTCCACAGCCGGCACGACCTACATCTTTGGCAAAGGAGGGGGTCTGATCACATACACGTGGCCCAATAACGAGAGGCCGAGCACCCGGACGGACCGGCTAGCCGTGGGCTTCAGCACGACCATAAAAGATGGCATCCTGGTCCGCATCGACAGCGCCCCACGTCTGGGTGACTACATCATGCTCCACATTGTATGTATTATTCTTGTCCATTCAAAATTCAGTGCGTTTCAAGTGTTTAAGGCATTACAGCCAAGGTGATGACCACAAACAAACCTCTGATTCATTCCTTTCCTTGTGGCAATCTTCAGGCAAAAATCATCCCACGGTGCTCCGACTGATTTATACGCACGATGTAGACCCAGTGAGGAAAAAAACCCTTACTGCTCTACTCTAAGTCTTTGCTCATCCAGAATAACCCCACTTCTCCAGCACAGTCAGGCTAACTCCCAGCATCTCCATACCTATATATATCCACACACACACACACACGTTGGAGAACCATAGGAAACAGGGGTGCTGCGATTTGGAATTCGCAGCCAGTCGACTGTGCACCCGTGCAGCATCTTAATACTTTCACATCGCGACCTTGCATTTGACTCGTTTACATAAGCATTACGCATTTACATAATCATCAACAGCAGCTTGATGAATGCAGTGTGGAATCACTGCAGTGGATGCATGTAGAGGTAGAGTGGTCGGGAAAAGGGACGAGTAGCTGGTGACGCAAAAAATAAAATACAAATAAATTAAGAAAGAAAAAAAAAAGATGCGATGATGAGGAGGAGCTACAGTTGCTAAAGCAGATTGAAAGTCTTTTTCTTCTTAAAGAGCTCCCCTCATCTCCTGAGTGCTGGCCATGTGGTGCAGAGAAGCAGCCATCTGCTCTGCAAAGATGAGGGCCAACAACAAGCAGTTTGGAGCTGCCTTTACAGTATAGAGAGATAGGAGCGTATGCACGTGTGTGTGTGTTTCCTTGTGCGCACAGGTGAGAGAGGAAGTGGAGTGGCACAGGCAGAGGGAAAATAAAGACGTCGAGTGGGTTGTGAGGGTGATGTGGGAAATGCCTCCCTGCGTGTTTCTAACTGACTGAGTAATTGCAGGAAACTCTAAAGGAAGGAAAAGGGATGCATTTTTAATTCTGCTTTTTAGATATGGCGGCACAGCTAGCCAAGCAGGGTATCTCTCTAATTTGGCTGTGAGTCATTGGGCGATGAATGTCTTCGTTCCTCCAGTCGAACGCACTAATGAATTTATTAATAGAAAGAAAAGCAACTGGAGACTTCACCGGTTCATTCAGAGAGGCAGCGTGTTCTGAACACAGTGTCGGTCCTAGCCGCTCGCGTGGGCAACACTGCAAATATTTCAGATGATTTATTGACAGCCGAGGGTGTACAAACAAAGTGGGTTTTGTTTAATATTAAAAACGATTGTTGCCTTAAACTATAAAATAGTTGGCAAAAGAAATGCTCTCCCATTACGGAGCAGAAAGCCGACGAACAAAGCGAGGCTTTTTGTTCGGCTGTGAGCTCGGTAATCGTCGTTGTCAGGAATAATCCTCTGCGTGATCTCACCTCTAACGACTGCTGTTGTTACAGGAAGCATAGATTATCATTTGCCTCACATTAGACTTTGAACTGTGCAGTTGTGGGAGTATCAGAGACCAAAAACAACCCTCCTGTCTCAGGGAGTGTACGTGTAGTAGAGATGCTTAGAAATTGAGATTTGTTATTAAATAATATTTCCTAATGACATCTGTAACATCTTTGCTGTTAGTGTTTTTCATTTGGCAGTAACTCTGGAGGAAAAGGTTACGGGCTTTTTGCCTGTCGATTCTGGATTTATGCAGCTTCATCTTTACGGTTATTAGACCGCTTCCTCAAAGGAGCGCGCTCTCTTGTCAGACTTTATCGTCTTTTCGATGACAGGATGTGGTCAACGAAAAGTCAAATAGCTTTTGTAGTTTTCTACTCCAGTTTTCTAACTGTGCAAAAGTCTTGAGCCACGTATTTTGCTGTGGGGATGGTGAAACGTTTACAAACATCCATGGAAATGCAGAATACAAGGCGGAGGACGGAAGTCAGTATTTGGTATGCCCAACTTTATTCTTTACCACAGCCTGAACTCTCTCGTGCAGCTTTCTTGTCTTTTCTAGAACTCAGTAGAACTCAGGATTAGTTCTCCAGGCTTCTTGAAGGACATTCAAAGCTGTTCTTTGGACGTTTCTATGATCCCACACTGCTTCACTAATGTTGAGGCCAATCGATGACTGATGGCGTTCCACACGGATGTTTTTTTATTGAAGCCGTCGCCAATCAGATGCTTTCCTACGGAGCCCCGCAGGGGACACGGGAGAAAAAAAATTAAGACGGACTTTTGCGAGATCTCGCAAAAGTTTTAGCCGCATTCTTCGAAGCCGACCGGGAGGTCGAGGCACGATGTGCCGAGAGAGCGGTGTTCCTCCCGGCTGTAGTAGGTCTCGACCTCCCGTTAGCTTCGAGCTAGTGGGTGTCAGATCTCCGAAAACGTCGGAGCACTTTTGCAAATATGTGATGTCTTGTAAACCGAGCAGATATCTGACGTTTACACAGCTACATTCACGCCTCAAAATATCTTAAAAGTGTATTTTGTGACCCAGAAAGAGTAATATTACAACTAAGTAGCTGCCGCCATTGTTGGAATTCTGATTCCTGAGTTTGTTTTGGGAGATCTCGCAAAAGTCCATCTTAATTTTCTCCCATGTCCCCTGCAGGGCTCCGTACTTTCCAGGTGGCATGACAGAGTGAACTCTGATCATACTGTTTTTCTGTAGACCCTCAGTATTGTATCTCCCTCCTGACCTCCTCCAGACATACTGATGATGATTTAAACCACAAATTTAGCTTCATCATTCCATACGACCAGTCGGTGCTGATTTTGAGTCCAGCTTCTCAGTTTCCACCATTCCACTGAGACCGTTTCCGATGACCAGATGGATCAACTGAAGGACCGAAGGCATCTCTCAGGTCCTTCATCTCTCTTAAGAACATGACTTTCAGATACTGAAAGCAGCAGATGCAGATT